CAAAACGGCCACACTACCCAAAGCAACCCACAGATCCAACACAACCCCCATCAAAATACTTGCAACATTCCTCACAGAACTGGAACAAACAATTCCAAAATTTATAAGGAACCACAAAAGCACCGAACAGCCAAAGCAATCTTTTGTAGGTCTCTCTCTTTTTTTTTTTCTTTCTTCTTTTTGTTATCTTTTCTTATGGTTTGATGACCAGAGAAGTTCCTTTAACATTTGTTGTAAAGCTGGTTTGGTGGCGCTGAAATCTTTTAGCTTTTATCTGTGAAGCTTTTGATTTGTCCATCAAGTCTGAATGAGAGCCTTGCTGGATATGCTTGCTAATATTTTTTGAGGATTTTTGCATCTATGTTCATTAGTCATATTGCCTGTAATTTTCTTTTTTTGTGGTATCTTTGTCTGGTTTTGGTATTAGGGTGATGTTGGCCTTGTGGAATGAGTTTGAAAGCAGTCCTTCCTCTGTAATTCTTTGGAAAAGTTGTGAAGCCATCTAGTTCTGGACTTTTGTTTGTTGGGAGTTTATTATTGTTATCACTGATTCAGTTTCATTACTGGTAATTGTTCTGTTCATGTTTGCTATTTCTTCCTGGTTCAGTCTTGGGAGATTATACAGTTCTAGGAATTTGTTGATTTATTCTAGGTTGTCCATTTTATTGGATTAGAGTTGTTTGTAGTAACCTTATGATCCGTTGTATTCTGTGGTGTCGGTTGTTAACTTCTTTTCTCTATTGATTTTACTAATTTGGACCCTCTATTTTTCTTGATGAGTTTAGTTAAAGGTTTATCTATTTTGTTTATTGTTTCAAAGAACCAGCTCTTAGTTTAGTTGATTTTTTTCTATTGTTTTTCTAGTCTCTATTTATTTCCTCTCTGATCTTTATGATTTCCTTTGTCCTACTAACTTTGGGTTTTGTTTGTTCTTCTTTTTCTAATTTCTTTAGGTGAAAGTTTAGGTGGTTTGAGATTTTTCTTGTTTCCTGAGGTAAGCTTATATCACCATAAAATTCCCTCTTAGAACTGCTTTTGCTGTATCCCATAGATATTGTGTGTTTTAAAGAAATTTTTATTGAAGTATAGTTGATTTACAATGTTGTGTTAATTTCTGGTGTACAGCATAGATTCAGTTGTACATATGTATACATTTCATATTATTTTTCATTAATACAAGGTATTAACTATAGTTCCCTGTGCTATACAGTAAGACCTTGTTGTTTATCTATTTTGTATGTAGTAGTGACTGATGGCATGAAGTCCTAGAGGAGTCAGGAGACAACTGGATCAAGAACACCTGCCTTGAAAACAAGAAAGGGGGCCTTTATCCTCTGAGACAGGATTGAAGGTGCTAAAGATGTAGGTATAGTGTAGATGTTAAAGAATAGGTGTGAGACAGCATGAAAGTTTTTCCCCTTTTTCAGAGTTCATCTGCTCAGAGTGAGGGAGTTAAGTGTGATCCAGGAGTCTTAGACAAGTAAAGTCTTAGAAAAGACACATGAGAAATGAAAAAGATTTCTAACTTGGGAAATGTAAAATGATTGTAAGAACCTACTCTTAGGAAACATTCTGGATGACATTGTCACTGTGTCCTTGAAGTTCTTAGTGACATTGGTCTTTACTGAAGAAACCAATTTGTATCTTCTTGGAAGATGCCTACTTAAGGTTAACCCTTGTGGACTAGGTGTATTTATGATATATATTTTACAACTTTTATTTTCCTATCATGTACCAGACATGGGGGCTAACGGCAGTCATAATAATCATGTTGTAAACCTGCTTTACCATATATGTTCTCAATCAGCACAACCACCCTCAGAGACAGGCAAGGCACAAATTGCTTTTGCCACTTCACAAATGAGGAAAGACCTAAAAGTTTATGGACCTGCCCACACTGCATACCTAGTGAATACAAAACCAGGAGTTAATCACATTTTATAATCTAGGTTTCATGCTCTAACTTCTGCTCTTTATAACATGAACATTAACAACTGTATTAAAACAGGCTTTGTTGGGGGTAGGGAGGGTATAGCTCAATAGTAGAGTGCATGCTTAGCATGCAGGAAGTCCTGGGTTCAATCCCCAGTATCTCCATTAAATAAATAAATAAACTAACTATCTAACCAACCAACCAACCTAATTACCTCCTCTTCCCCAATTAAAAAAAATTTTTAAAGGCTTAATGAGTCATAAATGCTCAAGCTGCAACACATGACATGGAGCACCTAAACTTGATCATCCTTGGAATCATTTGCCAAATTTTTAACCTTTCTTGTTTTCGTCTCAAGATATTTTCTGATTTTACTTTTGATTTTTCTTTGATCCATTAGTTGTTGAAATGTGTTATTTAATTTCCACATTTTTGTGAATTTTCCAGTTTTCTCTTTGCTGTTGATTTCTAGTTTTGTTCCTTTGTGGTCAGGAAAGATACTTTGTATGACTTCAGTTTTCTCAAATTTTTTGAGATTTGTTTTGTGGCCTTGTTTTGTGATCTGTCTGGGAGTATGTTCCATATGCTCTTTTTTTCGTATATGTATTTTTATTGAAGTATAGTCAGTTTACAATGCTGTGTCAGTTTCTGGTGTACAGCACAATGCCCCAGTCATACATGAACATACATTTATTCATTTTCATATTCTTTTTTACTGTAGGTTACTACAAGATATTGAATATAGTTTCCTGTGCTATACAGTATGAACTTGCTGTTTATCTATTTTATATAAGTTATTATCTGCAGATCTTGAACTCCCAATTTATCCCTTTCCATCCCCTTCCCCCTAGTAACCATAAGTTTGTTTTCTATGTCTGTGAGTCTGTTTCTGTTCTGTAATTAAGTTCACTTGTCTTTTTTTAGATTCCACATATAAGTGATGTCATATGGTATTTTTATCTTTCTGGCTTACTTCACTTAGAATGATTATCTCCAGGTCCATCCATGTTGCTGCAAATGGCATTATTGTTATTTTTTTATGGCTGAGTAGTATTCCATTGTATAAATATACCACAGCTTCTTTATCCAGTCATCTGTTGATGGACATTTAGGTTGTTTACATGTCTTGGCTATTGTAAATAGTGCTGCTTTGACCATTGGGGTGCATGTATGTTTTTGAATTAAGGTTCCCTCTGGATATATGACCAGGAGTGGGATTGTTGGGTCATATGGTAAGTCTGTTTTTAGTCTTTTGAGGAATCTTCATACTGTTTTCCATGATGGCTACACCAAACTACATTCCCACCAATAGTGTAGGTGGGTTCCCTTTTCTCCACACCCTTTCCAGCATTTATAGTTTGTAGACTTTTTAATGATGGCCATTCTGACTGGTGTGAGGTGATACCTCATTGTAGTTTTGATTTGCATTTCTCTGATAATTAGCAATATTGAGCATTTTTTCACGTACCTATTGGCCATTTGTATGTCTTCACTGGACAATTGTTTGCTTAGGTCTTCTGTCGATTTTTAGACTGGGTTGTTTGGTTTTTTATTATTAAGTTGTATGAGCTATTTATATATTCTGGAAATTAAGCCCTTGTCAGTCTCATCTTTTGCAAATATTTTCTCCCATACAACAATCCTTCAAAGGATCATATACCATGATCAAGTGGGATTTATCCCTGGGGTGCAAAGATACTTCAACATACACAGATCAATAAGTGTGAAACATCAGATTAATAGGGTAAGAAATAGAAATTACTATGATCACCTCAATAGATGCAGAAAAGGCATTTGACAAAATAAAACATCTTTCATGATAAAAAAATTCTTGATAATTTGGGTATAGAAGGAGCATAACTCAATATTATAAAGGCCATATATGACAAGCCCACCTTTAACATTATACTTAATGATGAAATGTTAAAAGTTTTTTCTCTAAGATCAGGAACATGACAAGGAGGCATACTTTTACCACTTCTTTTCAACATAGTACTCTAAGGATACTTTTCCTGATGCCCAAACAAGACCAAACCCCTGCTGGGGGTATTCAGAGCTCCCATCACTTTCTTTCACAGCCCTTCTCATGGTTTGCCAGGGAAGTTCGCATAACTCAAAGGTTCACTAGACTGAAAGCCCAGGTTAGGAACTGGGCCCGCTTTCCTTTCATATCCCTGGACCTCGCAGGATAGGCACTCAATAATAGAAGCATCACAGAGCGGAGAGAGGAAACAGATGAGAAAAATAAAGGGGTAAAGAATGGCCAAGTGTGGCTGGGATGCCAGCTCTGGGGAGACAGAGCTGGACAGGCCAGCTGATGTCAGATACGGAATCTGGTTTGTATTTTGTGAACCAGGGATGTCAGCCAAGCATCCAGAGCAGGATAGCAGTT